GTTCCAACAAAATAAATAATTATTATCTTTATAAAAAAATTATATTATTAAACCAAATATAAATTTATTTCGTTATTATACATAAATTAAATTATTAAAAAATTGAATTAAAAAATTACACAAAAAAATGAGGAATTTCAAATAGTTAGTTTGATACTAATATCGATATATTTTTGTCAAATTTTTATGATATCTTCAAATATATATTTTATTCAAAAATAAAAACATCATCGCTTTCTCAAAATCACATAAAGCCATATTATAACATCGACTGGGATAAATAATAAAATAAAATATTATAATCATGATGTATCTCGCTGCATTGCGCGAGTACGCTTCTAGTATAATATAATATAACTTATTGGTTTTAGATTTAATTTATTATAAAATGCTATAAATAATGTATTAAAAATAATATATTTTATTAATTTGTAGTTTACTCTTTATAAAAAATTGAATAATATCCGTCCCCACAAATTAATACCCGAAACAATGAAAAAAACAGCCCATTTGCCACACATAATTTCAGTTTATCCCTTTTTTAAAGATGCTTCAAAATTGGAGGGATTGTGAATTGTGATGTGAATTTGGTACCATCAGAGTGGATAGCTTGGGGTTCTTGTCTTTTTTCACTTGGCCATGGCTTCTTTGCAGAAAATAAGTCCTTTGATTCCCCCCAAACCCATAAAAGGGCATCAACAGTTTCAGCAAAATCAAGCATTTTTGCCCTTACCCATTTCGAGAAGATCAGCAATTTTGATATCTGTTCTTCCATTTACCCTAATTTCAAATCCCCAAGAGTCCGTCGCAAGAGAAAGACGCAATAGAAAGGCCATCCCTCTTGAAGATTTCCTCACTAGCTGTTAGTCAATTACCAATCTCTCCCTCTCTCCAATACATACATACATATATACATATATGTATGTATGTGTGTATGCACACACACACACACACACACAATTCTCTTTGTTTTATGGTCTTTTATGAGGGTTGTCTTTGAAATGATGTGGTTCTTTTGTTACTGCTAATGCTCTTTCTGTATTGTGAAATGATGTGATTCTTCTATCTAAAAATTGAGTAAAGTTGGATCAAACTCCCTCCCCATTAAGAAGAATCCAAAATTGATACAACTTTACTCAATTTTGGATTCTAAAAGTGAATATCTGAACAGGAAAGACCAATGCAGCTTTAATTGTGGACAGGGAGTTTGATTTTTCAGTTGACCCTTTTGCCCTTTTAGGTTATTGAAGTAAAAGCAAATAATAGGTTCAATCTTAGAAACTTATATATAGAGGCAAGAATATGATGAAATGATGTAGAACCTTTTGCAAAATTGTGTGCCCCAAGGGAAAATGGGTGTCTAGTCCAGCTTGCATGCGCCTCGACTAAACTTATGGGACCCTGAAGATAACAGCCAGGAAAATTCTCTGAGGAGGCTCGAACTAGCGATCTATGGGGAGGAGCCCCAAGTGTGATCTTTATTTGCCAATTGAGCTAGCCCTCAAGGTTCCATTATTGGGTTGCCATGCCTGAAGGCGTTTTAATGGGGACCTACTTTCGTTTTGCAAGTAAAAGTTAATTACATCGATAATATACAAAGGAAATTCGTGTTTTTTTATAATTTTTCTTGAATTTGAAACAGCTGATGGACTGAAATACTATGATGTTGTTGAAGGAAAGGGTCCCATTGCTGAAAAGGGATCAACAGTTCAGGTTTGTATCGAGCATTAATCCTTGAACTGAGTTGTGATTGCGGTTGGGGTTTGGGTTCGGATTCGGATTCTCAGTATCATTATCCTGGCTTATGGTTTTGTGCAGGTGCACTTTGATTGCGTTTATAACAAAATTACTGCAGTTTCGAGCAGGGAGTCTAAGATTTTAGCTGGAAACCGCACCATTGCACAGGTTTGTTTCTGCTTTTTCGTTCACGCACTTGATGCGCTTGCGGGTTTGGTAGAAGCATTATTTCTTAATAGGGAAAATTTGCATGAAATGATGAAAACACGACTTACTTTGGTCCGAGTCCTATTTTTTGCAACCAACTTACTTTTAAAACCTTCATTTTGATACCTCAGTTGTGACATCTCAAACACTTAGGTACCTGGTTTACGTATGAGAATGCATGAAAATGCGTACTTTGGTTCGATTCTTGTTTTATGTAATGTATTTTGGTCTAAATGTTTTGAGATACCAAAATGAAGGTTCTGAAAGTATGTTACACAAAATAAGGATCGGAGCAAAGTACGTTGCATTTTCATGCAATTTGCCCTTTTTGTTATACGAATTACTTGGTATCCGCTATTCTTCAACTCGTAAAAGATTATATGTGTTGACTTTGAGATCAAAGCTATAACTTTTTGTAAACTAGAGTTGATATGAGTTTTTTTACATCTAGCACTAACATAATCATGATCAATAGAATTTTTTTTTTCTTGATTAACCTGGATATCCAACCCGCTATGCGAACCGACTAATCCCAAGGTGACCACCTACTTTGCGGGTAGCCCCGAGTCACCGCATTTGAATCTCTGTGGCCACAAGGGGATTTTTGTTCCTCCTTGGATTTGAACCTGGGACCTCCAGACACTTTTGACCTTTGGAGCTCAAGCTCAAACCAATCAGACACCACCCTTGTGGTTGATCAATTGAATTTGTCATAGAGTTTATAGCAATCTCGAAGATTCTCTTGAAAATTGAAAGAATCCAATTCGATTTTCAAGGTTCAAAATTGACCCACTTGACCTAAAAAGTCAACTTATTAGATTCTTTCTGGTTAGGATATACTGAGCTCGTTTGGTTTGGTTTACTTACAATGACACTGTGACATGGGTATTTCGGTATTTTGACATGTTTTTTTGGCCTTAAGTAGCCTTACGTGTTTAAAGTTGGAGCTCCCCCGGGAAGGGAACGAAAGCGTGATTTTGTTGACAACCCCAATGGTTTGTTTTCCGCTCAAGCTGCACCTAAACCACCTCCAGCCATGTACACCGTTGTTGAGGGGATGAAAGTTGGTGGAAAGGTGGTCGTTTAGCTTACTTTTCTTATCTTTATTCTAATTTTCTCTAAATTATTCATTTTTGCTACTTGCTAAAATTAATTATGTTCGCAGAGGACGGTGATTGTTCCCCCGGAAGCTGGGTATGGCAAAAGAGGCTTGAATGAAATCCCGGTACATCGTTCTTTTGACTTTTCTATATTATTTGTGTTGGAGTTTCACATCTGCTAGACCGTAGCCTTGGACCCCCTTTTATCTGTATACGTTGGAACCTTTGTGCTTTCTATAAAGGCTGTTTTGAAGAGTAATCTGTTTTCACATATTTTTTAGGCTGTTTTTTTGTCTTTTTCTCAAAATCTTACAAGTCTTATCAACCTCTTTATGGATCATACTCACTACTCTGCGGTGGGTCCTTTGGTTATATAACCTTCTGACAGATCGAAAAAAAAAAGTTATTCCATGATCTTTTGACAAGTTTGAGAATGTCATCTTTTAACAGAAGAATGTCACTTTCATACACAAGAATGACTAAAAACTTGTTAGAAGGTACTAAATTTAAAAAGCACTTCTCATAAGCCACTCGGTGAATGTTGGGTGTTGTCTAATGATTTTCTTGTTTGATTTCTTTGCTTATATCATGAAAAGATTTGTATATGGTTGAAATTCCCATTTTACCCTTGTGATCTTCGAACGACTAAAATAGCACATTTTTATGATGTAGATGTTGAACCAAATAGACATTTCTGATCGACTTAAGCAACATTTCATGCATGTTGACATATATTTCGTATGATTTGGTTGAGCAGCCTGGAGCGACGTTTGAATTGAATCTTGAGCTATTGGAAGTGACACGACCCGAAGGAAAGTAGTTTGCTTTTGGGGAGAGGTTGCAAGGGTAGTTTTGGTATAAGAGCAATTTTTTTACCAGAAGGCTATTTTGTAAAGTGTATGAAAAGCTTTGTAACATGAAGTTGTACATGGCATTACATTACATTACAAAGAATTATATGTAACATTTGTATTTATATATCAATTCCATTTTGATTTTGGAATGCATCAAAATGCAACATATAGGTTTTTGGGAATTTATCAAGGATAAAATCAGTATGGGTTCTATTATTTCGTCCACATTTCGTCCACTTGTAAATCATATCATTGTATAAAAATGTAAAAAGATATGCGTAATCAGTTTAATTAGGTGTAGACATGAATAACATACATTTTTGACAAGTGAAGGAAAATATTCAGGGGTTGTTTGTTTACCTCTTAATAGTTTTATTAAGAGACAATCTTTGAATCGTTAAGAGATGAATTTTGTTTAGTAAAAAAAATGTCTCTTAATGATTCTAAAACCCTCTAAATAATTTTGTATCATGGATCACCATCAACCATTAAACGTCTTAATTCCATTATAAATAATACTCTTATAATTATATTTCATTTTACACTATATCATGAGAGTCTCTTAAATCATTCGACATCAAATTGTTAACAACTGATTTCGTGTTCCAATTGACGCTTTTCTACTTACATTGACAATTTGGTATTAATATGATACATGTGAATATACAAACGAATTAAGACATTATAGATTATTCATGTGAATATACAAATGGAACTATGGAAGACTTCCACTTTTTACTGCAAAAGAAGACAAAGTTTGCTTACGCCTTAAGTACAGTATATATGAATCTCCGCCATAGCTAGGGTTTGGGTTTTACCTTCAAGTTTTATTAATCCAACTCAACACTCACGCAAATGGACACTTCTTTGAGATATGGTGGAGATTCCAGCGCTCTCAGGATCGCCACTAAGAACAATCCTCCTACGGTGAAGTACGCTGGAGATGTCAGCGCCCTCAAAATCCATGTTAAACAGAAGCTCCGTATCGATTCCAACACTCTACTTCAGGTCACAAATTCACATCCTTTTGTTTGAAATACACCTTTTGATTGTTGTACTAGCAGAATTCTTTTCAGTTGTTTAATTGATTATGTTTTCGTTAATCCGGATGAGTTCGGAATATCTGTTTCGGGTTTTTATTTTTGTATACGAGTAATTGTTAAGATTTCTTTGTCATTTTAGAAGCATTGGCGTTCATGTTAAACGAATCAGAATCAGTTCTTGATTCTGTCACATTTTAATTAATTTGATAAGAAGGATTTAAGAAACTGGTTCAAATTAGGGATTTTGATTGCAAACCCCCCCCCCCCCCCCCTTTCCCCCAAAAAAAGAGAAGAAAGGAACGTTGTATTGAAAATAGGCATGCTCTACTCATTTTGCCTTTGTTTTCAGTTCTGAATCTTTTTAAAATGTTGAAGTTTCTTTTTGGTATTGAAAAATTCTGCTTAAATTACTTTCTTTTTGATGTTTTACTCCATCGGGTTGGGTTCCAGTGAGAAGAAGAGTTAAGGTGAGAAGCGTAAGAAGGTATTTCAACCCTTGTATGCACGTTAGGATGAGATGCATCAAGATGAGATGCACTAGATCAATCTTTGTATCAAGCGTGATTCATGGGTGGGTTTGAGATTAAAGGTGATCAAGGGTCCAAATCTCTTCTTAAACTTCTCACCTTAACTCTCTTTTGCCTTACTCCATCTCATAAAATTTAGTACTTCTTTTATAATCTAGAACATTTTATATTAGTTGCAATCCTTTTTTGAGAAAAAAGACAAATTCAAATAAAATGTTTTTAGGGAGAAGAATTGAGTTCTTTCTTAAATTGAGGGAGATGGAAATGAAGTTCAATTGTAAGATTGATATCAGCATTGGATTGAAAATATAGTTGAACGTAAATTATTTTGTAATGACATCAATGGATGCATATTTAAATTTGAAATTCGTAATGTCGTGATTAACTTGAAATGTTTTAGATCATAATAAATGCTTACAACTTTTATGAGATAGAATACAATGTTGAAAGATAACTCAAGCATTATTCTTAAATTTTGAAAGTATATGTGGGGGCGGACCCACTATGGTGCATACGGTGGCGTGGGCAACCGCCTCGTTTTTTAGGGTCGTGAAAGGTGCCACCGTATTTTTTTGTTGGATGCAACCATATATTTCTTGAAACTAAAATAATAACACAATTTTCTGTTGGTAGAGTTCCAGGTGCGGATCCAAATCCCATTGGTATTATTTTCTTAGTTTTTATCTTTTAACTTCAGGTTTATTATGTTCTTGAATTTTTTTGGGATAAAAGACTCCAACACATGATGTCACATACAAAAAGCAAGGAACTAACCAACGGATGAATGATGATTTTGTAAAAAATATCCATAGCTTCGTTTTTTATAGTCAAATACTGCCACCATTTGAAAATTTTCTAGGTCCGCCTCTGATTATAGGAAAAACACGAGTTTCTGAAACTTTTTGCAAAAATGTTCATCTGTTTTCATGTATGGTGTTCTTTTTCGATGATATTTGCAAGCTTAACGGTTAATGGTTAGAAAAGTCGATCAATCCTCTAATTTTTAGGTGCATTGATAGTGTGCAAAATAAATCATCCCTTGATTGTGTTTCGTTTTTATAAAATGTTGTGTAATAGTATCAATTTGTAATAGGTCCCATGGGATTAGTCGAGGTGCCTGCAAGTTAGCCTAGACACCCACGGTTACCCAAAAAGGCGTACTAGTTGTAGCACATTAGTGTGTATTTGTAATAGGGCCCATGGGATAAGTCGAGGTGCCTGCAAGTTAGCCTGGACGCCCATGGTTACCCAAAAAGGCCTACTAGTTGTAGCACATTAGTGTGAATTGCTGGGATGTATGGTCTTTTCGCATGATTGGGTACCTTTCTTTAGCTCTCTAGTTAGTCGAAGACACAATTTTTTTCATATGATTTGTTTTTCATATGCAAATTTCGTTTTTTTGTTAGTGGCTATAAGAAACATTGTTTATCCTTTTGGCATACAGTAAAGACAGGCAATCGATTTTACCTTGATACTTTATCTTGAATAATATTCATAGTATGATATGCTTATATGGTATAGCGTAGAGGTTTCAGGATCAAATAACACTCTTGGTGCTGTAAAGTATACTAATAGGGGTGCACCCATTCCGACAAAAGTTTCACCCTCTCTGTGTGGTCGGTTTCTTGGTTGGCTGGTTCTCTAAGAAAAAGGAAACAAAATGTTCTATTTGGTTCTTTACCAACTAAATAATACTCTAGGGGGCATTTGATTTGATGGAACGGTTTGGAGGGATTTGGATTTCGTGGAAGGATTTGGAATTGGAGGGATTTGGAATGTTTGATATGTTTGGGTTTTAGGATTTGGAATGGAATTGAATTCCTTTCTTTATAAATTATTTGTAAAAAATTATAAATAATTATAAACATGATTAGATTACCTTATTATTAATTGATTATTGGAAAACAAACGTTTTTAACATATTTTAAAGTATTATTATATACAAATCCTTCGAAATCCCTTGAAATCCCAACCACCCCCATGAGATCTCAAAATCCTACTTTTGAGGGATTTCAAATCCTGCAAATTCTACAAACCAAACATGGGATTGGAATGGAATTTGATTCCAAATCCCTCCAAATCCAATCCTAAGTTTGGTTTGCGGGATTTGGTGATTTGGAATTGGATTTCATTCCGATCCCACGTTTGGTTTAAAGGAAAGTCCACAATTGAAATCCTGGGATTTCAATAAATTCTTGTTCATATACAAGTTTTAGATCAAGCTTGCACATTCTGTTAACTTCTAATTTGCTGATGTTGCAGCTTAATGGAGAGCTTGATACAGGGAAAGGGGCTCCGACATTCTTTTGTGCACTTGTTAGACACTTCTATCCTGATGTATGTTACCTTTTTCGTACTTAAGTTGACTATCTTGAGCAATTAAAATTCTTTATCTGTCCTAATTCCCATTACGTTAACACTTCTACTTCCTCTATATAGCTGTCAGCTAGTCTTGGAGCTGGATTGCATTATGATAGAAATGACAAACTCCATTGCACCGTGCGTGGGAAAAAGGCGTATCCAGTGGCATCCAATCGGTTTGTCAACTTTGTCCTCAAAGGCCGTTGTGACATTGACAAAGAGTTGGAGGTGGGTGTGTAACTTTATGCTATAATTTAGCAAACTAGCTGATAAGCTAGTTGTTTGCTAATGAGTTGGTTGATAGACTAGTCATGCTTGGTAAAAACTAGCTGATAAGCTTAAATAACAATGTAAAATGACCTAAAGGACATGTTGAAATATTAATTGGAAAAAAAATAAGGGGCATAATTGGGGGAAAATGGAAAAAAAAGCTTTTGGAGTTTATTGAAACGGTACTTCAAGTAGCATTTCAACAAGCCCTTATGGCTAACCAAAAGAGACCTTTTCAATAAGGTAACTTGTGGTTGCCAAACTACCAGATTTTGTCCCGCCACCCCACCTCAATTGTTTCAAGATTTGTAGTATAAAATCATAAATAACTAATTTTCAACCTCCAAAACAAAAACTGTAATCAATTTGTAAAAGTTGTGTGATCTCTTAAACAGCCAACACCAAATGGAGCTCTCGAGTTGGTATGGAACATTCTAGATTTCCAGAAGGATCAAGATGTAAGGCTCAAGGTTGGCTATGAAATCGTTGACAAGGTATGAGTGCCTCTTGCAAGTCAAGTTTGTTTCTTTGCTAAACTTTTATACTAAAGCAAGCAGCCCCACTTCTGTTTTCAAGCTTTGTTACGTTCTTTTACATACCTTCTTCGTGTTCTATTTTCTTAACCAATCTCTATTGTTGCCATTTACTTTCTACATATTGAATGGTGTGCATTGACCACCTCTAACCCCTGTCATGATAAATAAATGTGTCTTCTAACACAAGAATGCCTCTAAATCTGTCAGAAGGTTATTCTCCTAAATAACCTCGTGATAATAAAGAGCCTTTGAATGCCATTATACTACTAGAGTTATTTTGCATCATAGGATATGTAGAGGGTTAGTTACAAAAAACTGAAACACTACAAAACTGATGAGGTTCGTTTCGCTTTTTCTGTCAATTCTTTTGTAATCTTTGTAATCTCCTGTTCCTTTTTTTCTTCCTTTTTGTGCAGATTCCGTATGTACAAATCAGGGAAAACAATTGGACATTTAATGCGGATATTAATGGAAGATGGAATGTGAGATACAACCTATGAGACTAAGAACTGATTATATTGTTTTCTAACTGGCCAGATATCAGTTGCAAGAAAAAAGAGAGAGAAATCGATGTGTAGGTTTGTACTGAATTTAGCTTTTTAGTATATGCTTTATATTTATTCACAGTTATCAAGCCTTAGTCGTTTGTTGAAAGCTAGCTAGTGAACTTTTGCCTTTGTTATCGGTATCTAGCCAATGGGTAACCAAAGGGTCATTGGCTTAATGATACCTGGATTATCGGTAGATACCAATCTTCTTGGAGGTCAAGGGTTCAAGCCTCACGAAGCGTGAGGAGTGTGCGTACGTTTTGCCGTGTAATATTACATATATATATGTACACACACACACTCTCTTCAAATCTAGAGAATGGGTAGACGAGGGTGTCTATTGGCTGGTGAAAACGGATTTAGATCATCTCTACGGGCCAACTATAAGAATCTGTTGATGGTTGGTTTGTAGATTTGAACGAATGGAGCTATTTTGATGGTTCGAGTGTCTTGGGAGTCTCTGCAGCACTGGCCTAACGGGTAAGGAGATGGGTATTTTTGCAGGATGAGTGTCTTGGGGAACACAAAGTCGTCTCTATATGAGTATATGTTAGCTTTCACATTGTAGGTAAGCTATCCTTATTTTGTAGGTTGAGTTTAAATAAAGTTAAAAAGTTGATGAGGCTTTACCTGTTAACATATAATCTTCAGGGTAAGTTTATGATTTAGGTGGAAAGTTCATGGGCTTTTCTGGTTATTCTCTATTTTGTAGCGGGTAACGAAACGGGTAGTTATTCATGTCATAAAACTCTTATCCATATCCATACTCTACCCACTAAGATAGCGGGTAAGGAAACAGGTAATGGATAAAGATCATTTTGAACTACAATAATATCGTTAAACATCAACATATAAGTACAATATAAGTTCATAAACATAATCTTTATTTTATATCTAATTTGTTCCAATAAACATTGCAACGTCATATATTATGCGAAACGACATTCTTGCCAAGGTTGATGGAGCGACATAAGTTTTGAGAATCTTTGAACAACCATAAATTAGCTTGAAAAGTCCTCGCAAAGACTTCTGTGCCAACCCTAATTTCGGAGGATCTCAGGTGAGGCTAACTAGGGGTGAACAAAAAACTGTCAACCCACGAAACCCGCCCAACCTAACCCGCTAACAACCCAATTAAACCAAACCCGTCAAACCGCTAAACCACCAAGCTGCTAAACCGCCAAACCGTTAATTAGGAGGGTTGAAATTGGGTTAGCATAACTTAACCCAACCCAAACCGCCAACCCGCCGCTAAAGTATATTTTTTATATATAATTATATGTATATATATATATGTGTGTGTGTGTGTGTGTGATATTTACAAAAATTAAGGAGGTGTTTGGGAATTTGGATTGCTTATAACCTTAAGGTCTTAAGCCCCTATCCCAACAAGGCAATAACCCTTTAAGCCCTTAACCTCTTATGTGTTAACCCAATAGAAATATAAATTAGAAACACTAACCCTACGTCCTTGCTTAAAGTTACGTCTTTCTGAGTTTCTTCTCCATCACAAATTCATAAATTCAATTTCCAAAGATTCCTCCGTTCCACGACAAACCCTCTGTTGGTCCGTCCCTTACGGCCTTAGCCAGTTAGCCTGACCGTCAACCTTCCGTCCTTGACGTGCCGAGTCTGCCGATTTTTGGATGATTGTAATAACTAATGACCTTGTTGGGTATATTTTTAGTATTATTTATCATATTTCATTTGCCAATTTTATGAGTTTTAGTAACCCGTCAACCCAACCCGCAAGGGTTGGGTTGGGTTATACTTTTGAATGGGTTGGGTTGGGTTGAGATTTCTCAAACCGCCACAATTGGGTTGGGTTGTAAAAATGTCATAAACCGCCCAACCCAACCCGTGTTCACCCCTAAGGCTAACCTTCAGAGTAGCCGATAGCTTACCTGGAACGTGTTATATCGAGATCTCATAATAAAGTAAAAAATAAATAAAATACTAACTTTAAAAAATAAGTTAAGAAATCAAACAAAGTCTAATAAAGTCATAAAAATGTACATCGTAATGCATCATAACCTTCCTCAAGAGATCATGGCACACATCTTGCGTCACTCCGCTGCTATGGCAATTAGCATGGTGTCAGACCCCTGTTTCGCATAATAACACGTCTTTTAGAACCTTGGTTCTATTGACGGGCGGTTTTAGTCTTTGGTCAATCAGAGGAATACATAAATAGTCCAGGAGGGAGAGTATAATTTCAGAAAGCCTCATACTTAGCCCCTACAAATCAAAATCTTTACATTTTAGTCCTCTACATGTTTCATTAGACAGTTTAGCCCTTCTATTTTATTATACTTATTTTTGTATAATTGTATTGATGGTGTGACAGATGATGACTTTCATCATAAAGTTCATCGATCATCTAAACATATAATCACCAAAAAAGCAACATGCTCATGTGTGATGTATGAATGGTTTGTTATTTATGTGAAGTTTGTTTCGATGTTGTTTGGCATGTAAACTTTTCTTACCGATCAACTTTGAACTTGATGATAGAAAAAAATACATGAATTTGATAGATTCAAATCCATGTTTTATCCACTATTGATCATTATATATGTTTGTAATTATGATCTATAGTTGTCTACCATTATCATCAGATATAAAACAATGTATTGATTTGAATTCGAGATTTTTCTACTATCTCTAATTGAATGTTAATTTCATATTTTATGGCCGTTAGAAATCTTTTTCTTAGTATGTGTCAAATAAGATGAAAATTTCACACAGATGTGATGCAGTAAAAATTTTCTAATTATAATATAAACATAATCATTTAAATATATTATTCTTAAAATACTTGTTATAAGAGTGGAAAGTTTGGGGTTTGACTTTATGTCTCTGATACATATGATTTACCTCCTTCATGATGATCATAAGACCAGTACGAGAGATTAAGAGGTTCCAGAAGGTTACATCATATTATTATCGGGCTAATAATGCATAGGTATTACGTTTGAATAATATGTTTGTGTAATTAAATAATTTAGGAGTATGATTTGGTCGTCTTTTGGTAAGGTTTTTCAATCCAAAAAAGTTGTACACGAGAACGAAGACATATGAAGGTTTCGTCATAACTATATACTCTTTGTTATGAAATGAAGCAATTATGATTTGTGTGATGTTGGTGCAAAATGCATGATGCGGTATCTATGTTGAGACGTTTGCATACGCCAATTTTCTTGTAACCAGCAGATTCCTAGACAAAATCACCAATGCCTTTTTTGGTTAGAGAGGGCACTAAGAGCCTAAATTCATAGACAAAGTCGTCAATTTTCTTTGTTCGTTCTTTATTTATTGAGACAAAATTAATGGCTTGCTTTTTGTTGCCAACGAGCTAGTAATCTGTCTCTTGATCTATACCCTTCTTGTGACAACAGAAGAGAAGGAATTGTAGTTCTCTCTCATTTTTGCCTTTGACTTGGTCAGAGCAAACAAGATGCTCCCACTACAGTTTCGATCTTTATTACCGTACGCCTCATGCTAAATGTTTCTGTCTTAATGAAGTTTTATGTGACTACGAGGAAGCAAAGCTACGAAGCTTTCAAGCAAGCTTTTCAAGAGTTGCCTCGTCCCTCATTAGATGGCAAGACAGGCTACCACATTTCTACTTCTTTTAGGAGAATCATTTATGTACGCCTTTTCTAGGCATAGGCACTTGGAGTCTATGATGCTTTCGGTAAACATATATATATATATATATATTATAGACCCAACTTGTAATGATTAGTGCTAGAAACACAAATTGTCATTACTTTGGGATGTTCCAAAACAAAAGTCAGTATATTTATGCTGAATCGTAAACAATCCTTAAAGAGTAGTATTGTCCCAATTATTTGTATTTCTTATAATGGAAGACAGGAAGTTTATATCAATTTCGATTGTGGAGAAATCATTATCGTTATTGTTCAGAGTTAATGAGCTTTAATTTTTTTGTAATTTTGTTAAAAACTAACCATTAAATTTGGTAAATACACAAAAAATCGCTGAAAACACTAAAGATAATGAACTTTTTAAACATTCGATTTGAAATTTCATTATAAACAAATCATTATAATTCATAAATACACAAATATATAACCGCATACAAAAGTTGATGGATTTTTATACCAAGATTAATGAAAAATATTCCTAAAAATATTGCATGTTAAAAATACATATAAATATTTTGACAAGATAGATAGACAAATAATACCAGAGTATTTTTATTGAAGTCTCATAGATTCAACGATACTGTAGTTATGGATAGATCCATTCCAATCTTTTTGGAGATTAATGATTCAAGTCTCGTAAAATATAAGGATTATAGAGGGAGGTTTATGGGAAAACCCTAAAAAATGAAAAACTGAGGACATGGGATAACCGTTCATCTGGACACAATGCACATGTGTATACAAGTACTTGAAGTTGTTTCTTAATTTTTATGCATGTTTGCATGTTATGCACATGTGTATATCGGACAAATTGTGTGCATGTTATGCACATGTGTATACCGGACAAATTGTTTACAAATTACTATATGCACACTTTTCAGATGAAAGGTTATGAGAATGTTCCTTAGTTTTTCATTTTTTTGCGGTTTTCCGTGAATCCAATCCGAGGATTATACATGTATAAGTAACATATTTGTATTTTTTGTGCTGTATTTTTGAAATATAGTTAAAACGGTTAACAACAACTTCATAAATTATATATATTTGAAGACATGGTCTTGCTCATGCTCATGCTCCTTGACCCCACCACCAATCTCCAACCACCACACCTATGTCTCCTCGTTTCAGGATTCTCGGTGGTCTAGATTCATCCACGGCGACGCCGCCACAACCAACGCCGGACGATGACTACGAAAACGTCAACACTGAATTCATTATCTTCATCGGCCTCGCCATCATCCTTGCTTCTCTACTTTGCATCATCGGCCTCAACGCCGCTCGCTGCACCTGGATCCGGAGGTTTTCCGACACAGTTATCACCGGTGGGATAGATCACTTCTCGTTGCCGGCTGCCAAGCTACTGAGAAGTATTCCGAAGCTCACCTACTCCGCTGAATCCATGGCCGAGAAATTCTCTGATTGCGCCATCTGCCTGGCGGAATTTGTGGTGGGAGAGGAGATTAGAGTTTTGCCGCGGTGCGGCCATTGTTTTCACGTCGTGTGCATTGACAAATGGATCGGATCTCACTTTACATGTCCGTCGTGCAGGCAGAAGTTGTTGAAGTCGACAAGGTGTAATTTGTGCGCAGATGAGGTGCCTGTGGCCGGAGTTACCGGAATTCAATTTACGACGGCCGGAGAAACAAGTGTTACGATTAACAGGTTTTTGTCCTAGCTCGATAATTAACCCTATATTAATCTATTACAATCCGTAATTAGGGTTAAATATTGTAAATAATTTAATTAGTTATATTTCCCTTATGAATTACTTGTACAAAAATTGTATTTGATAATTTTTTTTATCGTTAAACTCATTTATAGTTGACAAAAAAGTAAATTTTATTTAATTTTGCTTTTGTTGTTATTTTAGATAACCGGCTTTTAATTTTGAAATTTAAAATTAAACAAACTTTACTTTCTTCTATTTAGGACCCGAGTTTGAATATCATTAGTGTTATTTTTTTAGTTTTTAGCTTTTAATTTCAAATTTATTATGTTTCAAAAAAAAATTTATAATAAACACTTGAACACATGACCTCACATATGAAAACAATAAATTAAACAACAGACTAATGATTATTTTATAAAAAAGTATCCTTATATTTATTTATTATAATCAAATATGTTATTCTCTTTCTTTACTCTGGAATAGCTCGGTCGAACATATATGTCTCCATTGACCCCCTCATATTTCCTTGTAGGTACTCGTCACCGACCAATTTTGGTTAAATCAAAAGAAATTATGCGATAAAAAATGATATAAAGACGTTCAGGATGAAATTTTTTCAGGGTGATAATTCTGGGATTGTTGGTTATCAAAATAGTTAGACTTGCTCGTGGTTCGGACTTGTTTTAGATAATTTACATGGATTTCATATAATTGTGTTGTAACACCCCAATAGCAGTCAAGGGATACCCGTTGCTAAGGATGAGAAACGCATGTACTAAAACACTAGACTACATATATCTTTTATTTATCACTTGACGATATTTTTGTCCATAATCTTTCAACATCTATATGCTTATCTTGTTCACCTGATATATGATCTTAAGCTCTAGCAAGTTCATGATTTCCCGTAAAACATAAATCCCACTTTCGAAGTAACAAAACATGATCTTGCACATAGTTATTTGATTTTTTTTACATAATCAGTAATCATAGAGTTTGTGAGGCCTAGTGGTCTCCAAAAGACCATTCATTGTTATTTTTAGTACATAGCCAAAATAACACATTGGTAAAGAACATGTCATCTACATCTTCGAGACTCAGGCACATGTCCCATGCGTCAACCATGTCTGTAGTTATCATTAACACTATACATTTTGTATATACTTCGAAATTGTTTTACTCGGTTAAATAAATTCCACATTCATAAATATCATTAATACACAAATATATATAGGGTTGGGTTTCAATGAGAATGAGAGTTAACGTGAGAAGAATAAGAAACGATCTCCACCTTGGATGCACATGATGATGAGATGCACCAGAACAATCCCTTTATCAAATACGATTTATGTGTGAGTTTGAGATTAATGGTGATCAAGGGTCCGGATTTCTTCTCATACTTCTCACTTTAATTTTTATTCTCACACGATCATTTTCTTTTATATATATATATATATATATATATATATATATATATATAAATATGTAGAGGGATGTTATTCTACACCCTTTGTCATTCCTACACCCTATACAACCCTCATCTCAACCATTCAATTTTTAATCAATTAATTGTTTCCTAATATAAAGTATTAATCATAATTAATAAACTCTATTCATATTCCATAAATATTCAAATCATAATAAATGAACTCCAATCATTTTCTATAAATATCTCAATTAATTGGGTTGCAAAGGTTGTATAAATGCACAAGGTTATAAAAGAAATATACCCTATATATGTATGTATGTATGTATGTATGTATGTATGTATGTATGTATGTATGTATGTATGTATGTATGTATGTGTGTATGAATGTAAGTATGACTGACCGGGTAAGCCTTAGGTCAATGACTCCCAAGTGTAGGTGGTTATTTTGGTAATTTTCATAAACATAAATAATTGAAATCCAAGTTCAAATCACATTTTTTTAAGTGTAGGGCCTTTCTATAATTCTATGAAAAGTTGAACGACTGAATTCGAGACAAAAGTTCTTTGTTATAAAGTCCAGGGTCCAAACTGTAAATTTTAGAAACTATATACGATTAATGCTGGGCTAGAAATCGAATTCACAAAAGTCCAAGGCCAAACTCTACTTGGTAGTAATGCAACTATGTTATTCCGCAAAAGCTTTCTTATAAGAGTCGTTATTCTTATCTACGGGGTAAAATTCTCGTTTCCTTGCACTATCACTTACTGAATAAGGGTTTTGACCCTTGCCATATTAATACGATAATGACCCGATAAACGATTATTTGATATGCTTTTCGTAAATGGCCCATCAGTGACCATGTTAAAATATTCGTAAAAACTTAGGAGCTGGTTCAATTACCTTATTGGGTAAACAAAACAATGACAAGGAATCTTATCCCATAAAATGAATTACAAGAACCGAGAGTTTTACTCAGTAACTTAGAATTACAACTCTTACCCGGTAAATGTTTATCATATTGTAAATGCTCACCATCAATCCGTTTTGATGGCAATGAATATAACTACATAAGGTAAGTGAGAGTAGTGACTTTTGTCGGTAAACACTTGTCCAATAAACATTTGATAAATGATTGCTTAATTCACATTTTATAATATATAATAAAAATTAAAATAAACATAAAAAACCCTATCAAAACTTAGGAATTCACATCAACAAATGTGCAGATTTCATAATCAATCTTTAATGTTTAATAGTTAGTTTTTGTGAAAAAAAAACGAAGGATCCCAAAGAAAACTTATATTGTGGAAATCCCATTGCAGCCAAACATACCTCATCGACCTTCACCAGTTTGACATTTCTCAAAACAAAACACAATCTGCGAAAACCCAACCTTCAATTTCTTGACCCTAACCTAATTTTCAAGCCTTGAAACCCTAGATTTTATTTCCACCATGGGATTATACTTTCGTCTCTGAAATGGCTTCCGTTTGGCCCCTGCAATTGCATCCTATTTCTATTCCGGTATGTATCTTGCTCAAAATCTCAATCTTATATCTGGGCATTGCAAATTTTAGTCAAATAAGTAAACAAACATGGCCATTCTCATGTGGGTTCTTCTGTTATCGATAAATGAGTTAATGTTTCTTGCTATTAGGGTGCTTTTTTGTTTTAATTTGTGTAAATTTCGAGTATTTCTCATGTGACTAATGAATTTAAGCAAGCTTTCTTTGTTCGTGTGGAAACGCTCAATCTTTCTTATGTGGGTATTGGTGATTTAAGTGAAAATAGTTAATGGCTGTTGTTCATGGCCTGTTTTTTTCTCTCTCATTATCTGTGAAAGAATTGATTTTTTGTGTAGTGGGTAATTGAGTGGTTGTTTGGATGTCCACTTTAATTACTTAAGAAAGTAGTAGATAAAAAATAAGAGTAAAATTACCGTAGCGGTTAGTATCAAACTGATTTGTTGACCCCCTTAAGGATAAGATAATCATTTAGGAGAAGATCCCCTACTAGAATTTGGTTACGGTGACTTGAAATCGTAATGTTTAGATATGTTTAAAAAATGCACATCCAAACACCTCTTCAGCATCATTTGATTGATCCAATTCAACACTTGTTTGTTCTTATTTATTTGTGTAAGAATTCAATCTTTTTTACACGGGTGTTGATTGTATTTGATAGTGTTGGAGAAATACTACCTCCGTACCAAACTTAGAGTTTACTTTGACTTCTAAAACTCGAATAGATTAGCTAAGATCAATAATGATTGTTTCGACGATAGATAGAAAAGTTGATAACTTTATTATTCAGCAAAAGGGACACTTCAGATACTTGTGATTTGAGTTAAAAGACTAATGACATTAGTGTAAATTGTGGACTTGAAAAGTACTTTGTTTGAAGTACAAACCGAAGAGGATTTCAATTTTTATGGTCGAGGGAGTATGTTCTAATGCTTCTTGTTTTCGGTCTGCTTTTCTCATTATATGCACAATATTTCATGAGTAGTCATTGAAGTAATTCAAGCATTCTTTCTACTTTATGTGCAAAACGCTGGTTTTCATTGGGTAAGTGTTAGGAAAGGCTGAGAAATAAGTTAACGGATGTGTTCTTCCCATTATATGTTGTTCCTGCAATATACACTATACTTCAAAAATTCCTTTTTGGGATTCAAAATGGGGATGCGAACATGTTTTGCTTTGCAACCCATCCTTTAATTCTTTAATATAAGGGAAAGATTGTAACATTTCTCTTGTAAGTGATTGTTGATTCGTTGACATAGCTTGCTAGCTATGATATACCGTATTAATTTCAATATATGTGCATTTCAATTCGTTGTGCTTGGCATTCTTGAAATAAGCTACCAACTTTTTAATACATTTTTTTGTTCAATATCAAAATTGTCGATTAATTTTATGTATGTCAGAAGGCATATGAATAGACCAAAAGGTTGGTTGATCCCAACCTCGCTGGACGTAAACGGTCCAAGCCTCCCCAAAGGTGAGGAGTGTGTGAGTCCACCCCTCCTAAAACACACACACATATATATGTATATATATATTTATTTATTTATTTATAGAGGGAAGTTCTGTGAGGAACCCAAAATTGATTAGGAATCCTGGAACCGCACACAATGACACAATGCGCCATAAGTCCCTCTTCATGATGAATATGGAGATTTTACTCACCACGAATCACACATTTATGATGAATATGGACGTGTTATTCATCATGAACCAATCTTTTCTATTTCAAATGTACTATTAAAATTTGCTAGAATATAATAGAATTTTAGCAATGACCATGGATGTAAGGAAATTGTTGAACTACATAAATATCATCTTTAATTTCTTGTTTCCTGCAATTTGGTATTTTGTGTGTGTATATATAACTATTGGTCCAGTGATCCTAACACTTAGTTTGGTTTTCGATAGTTCATAATTAAAGTTCCATTGTTTGTCTTCTTGAAGCATCAAGTTTCGACAAATGCATTGGACCTTAAACCACAACTAGGGTTCAAAGAAAGATACCGGATTTGGAATAGGAAGAACAAATATAGAGATTTTTTTGTTAGAGCCTCCGGCGATGCGTTGCCATCGGGTGAAGTTAATCCGATTAAGGATGAAGCGATCCTTGAAAAAACAGAGAACAATGGCATGGTGGTCCTTCGGCATCAAGTGTCAAGACTACAAGAAACAATAATCTCTCTCCCTCCCATTGTTTTCTTGGTACGTTCTTCTCCGGGGCATAACTTCATAATTCTTGTATTGGCCAATTTTTTGGATGAAATATGGATATGAATCTGTTTATATTTTCAACTAAACACTTGTCATGATTGTTTAGCACTTCTTTTTTTTTTCTTTTGAAAATTGCAATGTTTGATTTTGCTCATGGTTTAAGGAAAGTGTTTGACTATTTATCTGATACCTAAATTGTTTTAAACAAGGACAACCGAACGGATCTTGTGGACCCTTGTTAGTTCATCCGCTCATTCGTAATGACGATAATGGCAAATAGGTATTTTTAACATGAAAAATTCATAAACTAGGAAAAGTCATACTCCCTCCATAGTCCGTACCAAAATAAATGTCCACATTCCTATTTTAGTTTGTCCAAAAATAAGTGCGTACTTTCCAATTCTATTATTAATTATGAGGTGTAGAAATACATTACTCCCTCTATTATCAAGGGTAAAATCGTCATTTAGTAAATTAAAAAGTATAATAATTAGACATTTCTAAAACTGTCTTTTTCATCATGGACATTTATTTTGGGATGGAGAGAGTGACTTTTATTGGACATCCCTGATGGAAATTGTTGCAATTTTTCATGGAAATGAAGTACTGTTTGCATAATACTCCGGTATGTTGTTTTTATGACAACATGGTGGTGATTGGCTATGCTGTTAATTGCGGCGATATCTCGGGTAGCGGGCTTGTGCAAAATATCGGTGGTAAAATTGCGGTTGTGCAATTAGCGGCACAATTTAACGCAATTTTGACTGCTATTTAGTGAAAATTTCGTTTGCAATTAGCACAATGCTTGAACATGCCAGACTAGGGTAGCAGACTGGGGGGACATACAGGTAGCTGAGGTGGGGAGGAGTGGGAAGCTAGCCTAAACGAAGAAGTGAACGTATTAGATGATGTTGACTCAAATGCTAAACCTATTGCTTGTGATTAGCTCGTTTATGAACACTTTTTCTATTTTGCAAATGATATGTTTATGTAGGCATATTATATATATAATTATATATAATTCTAAGAAATATTATATGAACCGCTATTTTTGGACCACTATACCACCGCTATTGCACCGCTATAACCGCTATTTCAAATATCGGTCCCGACCGCATTTTGTATTTTCACCGCTATAACAACATAGGTGATTGGTCAATGTTGACTTTGACAACCAACTTAGAACAATTAGGCATGCAATATCGATGCATTTTTTAATTGTGTTGTGTTGTTCTTTTTTTGGTTTTTTATTTAGACACCTTGTTAACCTGGGCTTGTGTTATGGAAACAAGTCTCTTTGCAAAATAGAGTGAGAAGTTGTGTGTGGAACACTTATTTTAAATATGTATATATATATATGGGGTAAAATTTCACATGCACTCCTCATTTTTGGTGATGCTTGAGCCCTAGACCTCCACGGAGGTTGGGATCTACCAGTAACCCATGTACCGCTTGGCCAATGTATGTCATTTTCTTCGATCTTTTACAGGTAAAAAGCTCCCCTCGTTCCAAATTTGCATTAGGGTTTTGTATAGCAGCGACCCTATTGATTGTTGCCATGAGAGTTTATATGGCGAGGAAGGTGAGGTACAAACGCTCTGGATCCGTTGCTGATCTTGTCAGGCGTGGCCAGCTAAACTCTGATAGAAGAGGCATGTATGACTCCAACTCTTTCTCGGTTATTATTATTACTACTCCATGTCTCTTGAAAGTTGCACGATTTTATTTTATACAAGAGTTTTGACTTTGTATTGTATGTCTAAATAAAAAATCATAGGATATTAAAATACCGTGGACCAAGAACAGTTAAACCAAACCAAACAAACCCAGTATTTCCCACTTGGACGTGGGGCCCGAGGGGTGGATGTACGCAGGCCTGACCTCTACTCTTATATTGTAGAGCGGTTGTTCTCGTGTAGAACTTGTCTTGTGGATCAAGAACAATAATATCCGTAATTCTTAACCATGACAAAGCGAAAATAAGTACTTCTATTTTGAAATTTTGGCAAAAATGGAATTGTTGCAATTGTCATGCGATGAAAGTTTCAACTTTTGACTAGACTTTGTTTATACCAAGTGTTGGACGTTAGAAAATGTCTGAAATACCCTTTAGTGATGAGAAATAGGAAAATCTTGCTTAAGAACAGTAGCATTAGTTTTGTACCCATGTTAACCGTTAACTTGCCGATTTTGTAACATCCACTAACGTGGACACCCGGTACTAAAGGGTTACGCTGAAGTAAAAGATAAACTTGACATCCACATCATCAGATGTTATAAGATTAACAGTAGTGGGTAAAAAATAAGAAGTTTGGAAACTTTGTTACATTAAATAGGAACATTTGAAACTTCGTTACATAAATTAAGAAAACAAAATTTACACCAAGTATGAACCAAGGGAAATTTCAATGTATTTTGCCCTTCTTTTTATTTGATTGTTGTTTACGGGTTCGTCTTAATTCAAGATGAAAATGGGACTCATAGAATCGAAGAAATTGGAAAGAAAGATGTTGGTTATGACTTATGAACCAAAAATGTTCTATTTACACTTTACAGATCAAAGACACCATTGTACGATGATCCATTCGACAATCCACTAGTAAAGATCAGTAAGAACAATTTGTCGGTTGAAATGTGTGGAAAAGTTTATCGTTTAGCCCCAGTGACTCTAACAAGAGAAGAGCAAAACATACATCAAAAGCGGAGGTCACGAGCCTATCAATGGAAGAGACCGACAATATTCCTTAAAGAAGGTGACCCCATACCTTCTGATGTTGACCCCGATACGGTTCGATGGATTCCGGCAAATCATCCTTTTGCGACCACTGCTAGCGACATTACTGAAGATTTGGCTCAAAATAACGTGCGTCAAAAGCACGGTGTTCCCTTCCGTATTCAGGCCGAGCATGAAGCGTTGCAGAAAAAGCTTGAAGCTTTGCAAAGCGTAAGTGCTTTGTTCCCATGTGCGTTTAAATAATCAATTAGTGTTTGGAAAATCCTGATTTCGTTCAGGTGGGATATACTTTGTTCGTTTGTTTTGGTTTATATAAATCGTATGTACTTGCAGGATCAGAAGTTCAACAATTTGGGAGTTGATCCGGGAACTGCTCGTAATTTTGAGAGACCATTCAAGTCGAATCTCAAGTTAGATGATCAGCAGGCTGAACAGAACTCGGTGAATGGTCAAACGGGCTCTCAACCAGAAAGTCAAACCAATTCTCATACGAGTAGCAGCAATTCAACTTCTGAAGAAAAGCGGACACAATGAGGACGCATCTTACTTTGTACGATAGTCGTGGCCATGCAGCAATCTCTTCACGGACGGGTATGTATAGTGTTCGAGGTACTTCAGATTCTTGATTTTTGACTTTTTTTCTGTTGACTCTTGACTAGTCAAAGTGAAATGGTGGATGTTTGATTGTAATTAATGGTTTTCCCTGGTGCAAGTTTTATGTTCATGTTTTGCTGATTCTGTTATTGCAACAATATTATGGTGAAATGGAGGCCAACAAAGTTAAATTTAGTTTCTATTTAGTGTAACTAAGAATCTTATTGCTAAATAGATGTAATAAAATTTCATTTTTTTATTTTATACCTATTTTGACCGGTAATATGCTAATTTTGTAACTTTTAATGATGTGGATATCTGTTTACAAAAGATTTACGTTGAAGTAGACTAAGGGGCTTTTTGATTGGTTTTCTATTTAAGTCGTGTATGGATAAAGATGTATGCGTGGATTAGTCTATCTATATATAGATCGGAAGGTTTTTGTTTGAGAAATTTTTTTCATAGATGAAATGATCGTGTTTTTTAGTTTGGAGGGGTATGTTTGGAGAACACTTGGGTTTATGCATAAAGCTCTCTAGAAGCTTACTAAATACGTCACATTTTATATCATTAAGCCACTACCAAATAGTCATGTATAACTGACCGTATAAGCCATGAGTTCCATTAAGCTCATTAAGCTGCTAACAAACAAGCATCAGAAGTTTTACTGAATCAACGGAAGTATTCGTACTTCAATAGAAACCCATCTCCGGGAAACTCCATTGTCAGCCCTAAACCACAGTGTACGTATCTTCTTCTCTTCAGAATAGTTTAATTCACATGCCGATTCTGGGTTGATTAATGACGCATCTTTTTGGCGTTTGTTGAATGGAGTTTGAAATGTGTTTAGCTGGGAACACTAGGGCAAAAGGGGTTTATGATAAAATTGCATCTTATGGATGCAGATAAGATGTTTGATAAAATGCATCTTACAGTTGCAGTCTTGCATAAAAGGTGTTTGATAAATACATTAAAGAGATGCTGTTTTTGCTGGAACTGTATGAAGAAAACTTCTTGTGTTGGAACAATGCAGTTGTAGTTAAGGAACTCTTAAGTAGAAAATCGTTATGATTTCAATAAATCGATGATCATGGTAAATGAATAAACAAACAACATAACGAAAAATCGAAAACTTAACAAAGCTACTTATAGGTACATAATAGAAGAAACTTTATATAGTATATGAGGCCTCGAAAACTTATTGATCTCTCCAGTTTTGTTTCCGATCCTTCTTATGCAAGTATATTCATACAAAAACTTACGAAAGTTTGTCTTCAGGTTTGTACAAGTATACCATCTTGAAACCATTTGTGATAGATCGGGGGCCAAAAGTATCTTCAGGAAACCAACTGTGCGCACACCCTGGGGCCAAAACTGTCCTCAGGTTCATGCAAGTATATCATCCTGAAACCAAGTGTGCTACGCCCTACCTCATTCAAGGAAGAATTTCTTCAGGTTGTGAACTTGACGTCTGGATTCCTTATGGATTTAAGCCACATGTCGGCCATCACACGCGAAGATAAGCTCCACAAGAGGTCCGGTCCCTTTACCATCACACGCTTCCCTTTCTTTCCCGCCTTTCCGAGACCATAACCTACCAACCACTGCATCGCGGTTAGCCGTTGCTTCTCTGTATCCCAATCGTTCTTTTTCCCTCCGCTTCTTAGTTTCAGACCACCGACGTTTAAACTCGCGATTTTAAATCTCTTTTCTTGAGCTGGTTCGGCTTCAACGGATGTGGCATGTACCAGAGCAATAAGTGGACCGCCAACCGCCTCGTATTGTCGTAGAGGGTCCCGCATTTGAATTACGACTGATATGGTGACGGTTTCATGTTCGTTTTGCGAAGTAACAATGCCGTTGTCTTTCATCCAATCTTCTAAAGGCATAGCGGTTGTTAATGGGTGACTTCCATCTCTACTGTTGTTGCTCGGGGAAACATCGAAAGGAGCGGTTTCTTTAGTTATATCTGCTTGAACTTTTAATGCTTCAACCGCCATTTCTTCGATTTTCTGCAATGAACACGCCAGAATTTCTTCGCCCGTCAATGGATTCTCGTTCATATTCCAAATTCCTGATGAAATCCGCTCTTTTCTTCCGCTAGTCATACCGGTGGCCATGGATTTCACGATCGTAATGGCACGAGTGGCGCTCGAAGTGGCTCCTTCTTTGTTTCGGCCACTGATGATTGTTGAAGCGATCCCTTCGAAAGCCGTCTGTTCGGCCGTTTTACCCACGAGTTCCTCCATCGGCATCAATGATAAGATCTCCGAGCTAAGTTCTTCGAAACCAATTGCTGCCATCCGCTGAAAGAACTCGGTCCCGGTTAATGATTCATTTGACGTGAGAACCATTGGTCTTGATATCTGCATTGCGAGTTTTGGAGTGTCTTTCTTTCCCATTAGGTTGTCGAATGGATTCATTGACACCAAATAGCCTCCGTTTCTTGTCTGAATTACGCAGCCTAATCCCTTCCCAAGATCGGGTACGAAAACCTTCTCGTTGTAACCGTCGTCTGTTTCCCTGGCAGAGTTTTCGTGCTCGAAACTAGCTTCTTTCCCATCTTCATGCTCGAGCATTTGGAAGAACTCCCGAGTCACTTTGTCTTCATCTTCATCTAATCCTTGTGATTCCGTTTCTTGGTCATTCTCGTCGTTTTTCTCCTCCGCCATCATAGATTCAAGCGCTTTGATCTGCTGTGCTATAGAATCGAGCTCCGACAACCGTGTCAAATGAACTTGATCGTGCACGACTTCCTTCACGACCTCACTCGAGATTGATCTTTTGTCCGAATTATCTTCCGATTGTGTTCCATCCATTCCATCTCTATCTTGCACCTCAATCCCCTTGTCTACAACTTCAAAATCCGGAAGGTCGAGATCCTCCAGCTTCGATTCCGGCTCTTCAGTCATCTGAACTGGCGGTGGCGACACTGCTGCCACCGTCGCCACGGGTTCCTGTGGCGGTTCATCAAGATTCAGATCATCAATCCCTTGAAAATCGACATTCCCAGCTCGTTGCGAAGGTGTATACACCTCTGCCCGGTTCGGGATCCTCGGACTAGGAACACTGAACGATGATTTCGACTGTTTACGCCCGATCGAAGGCGAAAACATTTTCGATTTACCCGATTTCTGTCCTTCGACTTGATTATAAATACCAACTCCTCCCTCTTTTTCCATGATCTGAAACCCTAGTTTCATGACTAATTCGCCTCCTTTGGCCTTTCCGGATAGATTAAAGCTCATATCCCACTGCCGAATCCTCGTTCCTTCGAAGTTCTTCTCGATCGATTCCTGGATCAATTGGCTTAAATCAACGGCATGCCGGCCAAAATCGAGCTCTTCGGCATCAACTGCAAAAGCATGGATTATAAATGGCCGGGGTTCGAACTTCGCCCGGGGATTTCCGCTCCCCGCCGGAGTGCAGTACACATGACACCTAATAAACAAAGTTTCTTCAAAATCAGCAGCTCCTTGAGACACCCTTGAAGGCATTGTTTGAACTGCACCATCTTTTGTTTCTTTCTTCCTTACGGAAACCGATAATCGGAGTCCGTTCATAGACGCCGGAAGACCTTGAACGGTCACGACTTCCACCGACAACAAACAGCTCAGCTTCTGTTTACCGATATGCGAAAGAACCCGAATCGGCTTCCAGTTCCATAATCCTTTCTTCTCGGACGAAGATTCTTTTTCCGGTTTGCTATCTCGAAAAAGATTCTTGGAAACGACCGGTGCTTGTTGTTTCTGACTAGTTTCTTCACTCGGGCGAGACCTCCATGGCGATAACGACATACGTCTCGCTCGGGGTTTAGGGTTCAGTTTGATCCCATCTTGATCATCGTCATCGTCAGCATGATCAGTTTTTCCGGTGGACAGTATCGGAGGGATCGAGGCTCGGGAAAGAACCAGAGAGTTTGTTCTTCGATTTTTTGTCGCGGGAACCGAGGAAGTGTTGGTGTTGTTAAGTGTTAGGCTGAGAGCTTCAAGCTCTTCTAACAGTTGGGTGTTGGAGTTTCTCCGATCCGGTGGGTTGTTTTCTGCCATGAAGGTGGAGGAGGGTGGCAGTGGTGGTGGTTGCTGAGAAAGTGGAATGAAGGAGAAGATAGAGTGAAGAGGTGTATTGCTATTGGTGATTAGAGGTTGGTTACTGTGAGTGTGAGGTGGGAAAATTGCCATGGAAGATTGGTTTGGAAGGTAGGGGCTGGTGGTTTCAGGGCCAAGAAAATCGTGTGGGCATGGGATGTGCAGCAGGATAAGAGATTTTGGTGGATTTGGTGAAAGAATTAAATGTTGGCTTTTTATGTGACATAGGGTCATAGGATAGGCTGATTTATACATTTTCTGATTACTCCTTATATAGATCACTTCATTTTGTCACAGCAAAATATTAGAACAAAGAACACATGACCTTCACGTGATGCAAAAAATGGAACCTTCATATAAAAACCACATTACATTACATCCACTCTTTGATCCAAATTCATATCTACCTGCAATACTCAATATACTTCCGAAGATCATACATTCATATACTTCGCATCCGGCATTTTGAATATGCTTATCTTTACAAGCTTCTTTGCCCATCGGTAACTCCATATCTGTAAACAATATAAAGTTGTCTAAGTGATCGATAATCCATAAGTCATCAACATAAATATCCTATGATAATAATAATAGATTTTATGCTAATAAGTGAAATGTTATCTCTATTGAAATCGAGGAAGAATGTTGAATTTCAACAAACTATATATGCGAAAAGTACTCTCTGCGTTCCAAAATAAAAATGACATATGGTTTTAGACATGTATAACTATTACACTCTTTAATTAACCAAAAACAACTTTACTTTTAATTAATTCATCTGTCTTATCAATTCTTGAATATTTGTATATTAATTAAGGGTAGATTTAGAAAGCTAGGGGTCGTTACCGAACGCTTACTTGGGAAGCGATTAGCTTATCGGGTTCTGAGAATTTTACTTGACAAGAGATATAGTAAGGACCGAGAATCTTATCCGTTTAGCACTTACCAAGTAAGAGATGCTTACCAACATCCATTTTTTATGGCTAAGAATGTTACCTGATAAAGTGAGTGAATGTGGTGACTCTTTCAGATAAACGCTTACTCGATAAGCTTTTGATAAACACCCCTTAATTACGTACTTTTCATCCTAATGCACTTTTAAAAGAAGACTTTATATAAAATAATGATAAATCAATCTCATTGGTGGAATCAATAAATAAAAATTCATCTCTCTATACATCAAGTTTTAGGGAAGTATCTAAACTTGAAGCTTTCTCTATTTTTCTTATTTTAGAGAATAATATGGATAATTCTTTAGGAAAAATAGAGTACAAAACTCTTATTTTCTCTATTCAAATCCTGTTTGTTTGCTCATCGCGTACTCAAAAAACCCACTGAAATCCATAACGGAAAGCATCTTTTTATGCTCATCTGATTCTCTGTTTGTTTGTTTGTTCGATTCTCCAACCATCATATAAATGAACACATTAAAAAAGAGCACCTGGAAGAATTTTTTTGTTTGTTTATGAACATTCTTCAAGATACATCGACGAAACAAGATCTCTATGATTTGTCTTTGATAATGTTGATATGTTTTTGCTCATGGTTCTTTTTTGCATGTTAACAATTTTGCTGCTTTCATTGATGTTTATACTGATTTTTATGTTCAATAAAAGTTCGTTGGACTTTTGGTATGTGGACTTTAAAGAATTCCCAAAAATTCAATTCTAGTAGAGAGGGAAATACTTTTTTTTATCGTTCCTACCAATTAAATATCGAGTGTTTGTTGGAGTATGAAATGTATTGAATATTTTAACGACATAGTTAATGCTTAAATCTTCATATTGAAGAAACTATTGGAATTAAATATAATTTTTTATAATTTTATGTCACTTTTTTTATTTTATAAAAGAACCATGGCAAATGTTCAGATGAAACTAATTTTGTTTCCATTGTTCGTTATTAAAACGTGTTGGGGCATATGGTTAGTCCTGAAATCAAGAAGTGTGTCAAAATTGGTATTATGGATATGATTAGGCCCAACCATATGATCGACTAAATTTACGTTTCTTATTCAGTCAATGTTTATCTGTACTCTATTATAATGCATTTGGCTAAAACTCTTAAAAACTTAAAAACTCTTAAACTCTTAAACTCGCCCATCCCTAAACGATTTCATCCCTATCCGATTTCATCCCATAACTGAATTCGTGTAACTAACTGCAGATAAACA